TTTTTGCCCCTTTTTGGCCCCTAATTCCTAAAATTTGGAGGCAATTACCCCCAAAATCAATCCCAGCATTCCCTTTGTGATATGGAACCTTGTGGTACAATGTCAGAGGGATCCATACACTAACACACAAGTTATGTCTGGAAGTTACAAAAATGCTTATTTTTGGCCCCTTTTTGGCCCCTAATTCCTTAACTGTTGGTACCATAACCCCCAAAATCAATCCCCACCTTCCTTTTGTGGTATTGAACCTTATGGTAAAATTTCATAGAGATCCATTCACTTAAACTAAAGTTAGAGTGCGAAAACCAATGTGTCTTCGGACGACGACGACGACGCCAACGTCATACCAATTTACGACCGCAAAATTTTTTTGCGGTCGTATAAAAATAAAGTGTAACAAAACAACCTAGCATCATATTGCTAGTAGCGCGAGTAGCATTGTTTGGTAAATTTGTGCTTTTTTTTTAAATTTGGCTAATGGACAAAAAATGTTTGGTTCAAATCTAAATAAAATGCTTTTATCTCCCTATTACTTACATTGTACATAGAATGGATACTACTTTGACAATTCCTTGTACATGAGAGTTGTCTGTCAAATCTTTATTTCACAAAGAATGAATTGCATATGATAACAATGAACTGAGCTCAAAGCAAAGCACTTTAATAATACACTTAGACAAAGAGCTCAATCCAGTGATATACTTTGTACTACAGGTCCTTCATGAACATCCTATCGGCCAAAACCATATCTCACAAACATGCCATACTACATCATACATGATCAGAAGTCCTGAAAAAGACATGAATTTTATTATCTTATTTTAAGTATATATACACCGATTAAAACTTTCACAAATTTGTGGTAAAATCATTCAGGACCTAGCAACTATCAATCGATTCATGCACAAATTGATATAGGTTGAGAGCCCCTCTGTCGGAAATAAGAACATACCTCCACCTAATTTTAGTTAACTGATGAAGAAACATTCAAAACTATAAAATGTTATCTAAGACTTGTCAGTGTCTATTTACCATCACCACTGAATCAATAATATATGTATACACATATAAGACTAAAATTGACGTACATATATAAGACTAAAACTGACATTTGGTCTTTTACTCCACCTTCATTCCTCAAGTCGTGTTCAAATCTGACTTTATGATAAAATAAGATTCCATATCTACAACCAATGAAATACCCCTCTAATAGACTAGCCGCAATGAAATCCCAGTTTTCTAAAATGGTAGGTGGAACCTAAAACTCAAAAAAATTTAAACGATATATTTTAAATATTGAAAATACATGTAATAATAATTCTTCTAAAAAATTCGCTATATTTTTCCTTATTTTGTCTTTTGTTCGAGACTTTATATTGACCTCTAGATGTCTTTCAATTACATCCAGTTTGGCGTGGGTTGATGTTTGATTGTTGTACATGTTATATATCGACGTGGGATTTGTTTATATAAATAACAACTATTCCCTTAAATTCAAATAAAATAGATGTAAATAAGAAATTATAGGCAACCATATGCATACCACCTTCAATAAACAGCTGCGCCATGAGCGCATGAGTATGCGCGTCACATTTACAAAGAATAAAGTTCAATTACTTCAAAATGTCATATAAGAAAATTTATGAAAATCAAAAAGGGAGCTTACATCAATAGATATAAACAATTCACCAAAGTTTAATGAGAATTGCTGAAAACATTGTCCAAAACTGGAAAATCCCCCCTTTTTAATATATAAAACCCCGTAACTTGGAAATGTAAAATGTAAAATTTATAAAATTCTAAAGGCAGCAGCTTACATCACTAGATATAAACAATTCACCAATGTTTCATGAGAACTGCTGAAAGCATTTTTGAGTTATAGTCTGAACACTGGAAAATCCCCCTTTTTTTAAGAATAAACTCGGAAATTCCCAACATTGAAGAAAAATACTTTGATCAGGGAGAAATGAAACAAATTCTGAGTAGGTTTTTTTGCCTTTATTTGATGCTTGCGTGGTACATGTACCACAAAAAATCAGATTGAACCCCCTCCCTCAAAATTAAATAGTCGTTCACGCTCTTGAAAAACATGCCCCGGGAAAATTAGCTCAGCGTGCTGCAAAACAGGCGATACGTCTAAAAACCACTAAAGACTTATAATATGCCACTAAGGACTAGAAGGGGTGCTGTTTCATGTACATCGTTTTTATATTATGGTAGAGATTGATATTTAATGCATAAATTCCAAAATTTTATATAAAAAAAAAAAGACGGAACCAACAAATAAATGAGTAATTGAACAATGTTTAAGCACGTGCCGGTTTTTCTTTGATATTGCCGAATATCAGTGAAACGATCGACACGAGCCAACTCACATAACAACTGATTAAACATTAAACAAATTCAATCATAATCTTTTTATTTAAAGTAATTAACAATTGTAAAGACTAGTGCTAAATATTTATAATCAAATGTTTTGTTCTTATTTACAATGATTAAAAGGACAAATCATTTTGCTTTAATTTGTTTTATTTATCTTCTGACAAAGTTATTTGCTATAGGTGCATGGCTTTGGTGTGCGTCAACTATTTAGTTAGAGTGTTGTCAGCTTGTAAAAATGTTTATTTATTAAAGAGGTACCAAGACAAAAGGAAAAGATATATTTTTAATTTTATTCCGACATCGATGCGTTTATTTACAAAATGGTTTCACTAAAAAATATGAGAAAATTTTGCATAACTATAAAAAATCAAAGTACTGAAGTACTGAACATCGGATGACCGCAAGTTCTTGTGGATGGTCAAAAGCACTTGTCACAGAAAAAAATCACGTCTCTATACCTGAAACTGAGGTTAATGTACAGAGATAGTAACAGATAGAAAACTCAGGGTAAACATTCATAGAACCGAGACAAGGGGCAGTGGCAAATATTTCATGTATATTTTGAACACAAAGAGGATTACCCCGGTACCCTTTGCCAAACATAATCTTTTTTTTTCTTCTATTTGCCAACGGACTTTATGTTATGAATTGTAGTTTCACTTTCCATATTCGGTATTTATTCTAATTTAAGCTCCACGTAGTAAAAATCACGTGATTCAGGAATATAGTATCTTGGATTTAGACTATTTCTTTCTTTTCGGGCGGGGACTCCAAGCAATCAACATGCATGTGTATAACGGCACTGTAAATTTTCTTATTAAATAAAAAAAGTTGCCGGTCCGGTACATGATTAGATCGGTTAGAAATCAAAGTTTTACTTTTAATTAGATTAGAGGGTTGAAAATAGAGAGCACAAAAAGGGGGGGTGGGGTGGGGGTGTTCCACAGGGAATATTTCCTTCTTATGAACTCTACATCTGAAAGGTTTATATATTTTTTTTATTTAATTGAAAGAGAGAAAAACAAATGTAAGACAAATTGTGAATGGTCTTTTCTTCCTTTCTCCCATGCCAAGAAATTGCCTCCGTTGAAATTTGGCAAACATCCCATAGAGCAAATTACATGGATGATTAATTTTGACCATTTGGTATATGGCTGTGTTTTAAGTGAGACGTACACGCGGGTCATAAATTAATTTATTGAATGAAATCAAATCTTTAACTACTAATGGATGCCGTGGGAGGTCGACCGGAATTTTTAGCGAGGATTTCTTGGCATGGTGAGCCAATTAGGCTCCGTGTTGAAGGCCGTACTTTGACCTATAATTGTTTACTTTTTATACATTGTGACTTGGGTGGAGAGTTGTCTCATGAGGGTATGAATGCCCTTGACCGTCAGGCGTCAAACGGTCATTTTCGGCTACCGTTAGCGTCAAATTGGTTAAAATTTTACCGCGATTCGTCAAAATATCCTTATCGTGATTCGTCAGAGGATCTCAAATAAGTATCGTTACCGTTATTTTTGGAAAAAATTTAACGTGATTCGTCAAAATCAGTCGATTTTTTTTTATCGTCTAAAAGAAAGTGTACATTTTATAGTCATGCACCAAAAATTTCCGTTAACGTCATTTGGCAGGAATTTTTACCGTTATTCGTCATGAAGGTACCCCCATTACGACTCTCTCTCATTGGCACTCATACCACATTTTCTTATTTATAAATAAGATATTAAATGGAAAATATGATCCAGAAACAAGTACCGTTTTCTTATAACTACCGAGTGACAGTTATAGCACCAGACTAAATAGTAATGAAATCATTCACTAAAGATTTCGAACAAGTCATTGGAAAGTAGCTTTATGCTGTAAGAATTGCAAAAATATGGAGCAAACTACCTGATGATGGGGTAAAGGAAAGGCTCCGTAAATAAATGGTTTTTAAAAATAGACTAGACAAAGGGCGGTGGTACTATGTAGGGGGTCTCATTGGGGGGTTCTGATCCCGGATCCCGCTTACTCAGTGTTTTGTCAGATTCCCGTATCCCGCTTACACTATGTACGTAAGCAATTCTCACTTTTTTGTAATTTCCCGTGTCCCGCTAGACTTCATTTCCCGTTTTCACGGCACAATAATTTGACTTTCACGTGTCACGCTTACAAAAAATTGGCAATCCCGGATCACGCTTAGACCCCAATGAGACCCACTATGTAATCACGCGGTGTGATAGGGACGAGCCGCCTGAATAGGTCACTATTTCAAGCTTCATAATATACGATTAGACATTTAAATTAGGATACGGTTGCTGGTTATATCAAAAGTATTAAAAAGATGCAATGAAAACCAGTCATCAGTCATAAATGCATCAAGTTGGATATTTGACAACTCTACTTTTCTTATACCTGAAATGGCGTGATAAAACTATATAGATCTAAATTATGAAAAGGGTTTTTTTGAAATGTCTCAGCTGCTCACCAATACCACAAAATTATTGAGCTCACACGGAGTTGGGAAATTTCAAGAAATAAAATATCAATAAGACCGTTTTGGTGTATATGATTATACATTTTTCTTTGGTTATTATCTTGTCCTTCTATTAACCAATCAAATGAGTTCTGTCATTTGGCCAATCAAATAACTTCTTACTTTATTACATATGCCGGTTCTCCAACTTGTCGGCAAAAGATAAAAGTGTCTTCTATGTAGGTTTTTGTTTTAAAGAAAAGCTCAATTAGCAAATCAGTATGAATGAGAACAGTTTTATACCACTGTACATGATAATGGGTCTTTTTATACTTTGCAATATACTTACATAGCTTAGTTTTTATGGTATTATATTTTGGTGATGTGGCACTCTTGACAGCCCGAACCACATGTACGTACGGTAGTCGTACGGTAGCTGCTCAAAAGAATCATTTACTACGTATAATGAACATATAAAATTTTATACCTGACAAAAGGTTCATATCAATCAACACCCTTAATAATGTCATGGCTTCGCCGTGGTATTAAATCACCTGAGTAGTAGGGTGATAAAATAGATTGGCACCAACTGGGAAAGTTTATTTGGCACCTGTGACCTGGTACCAAGTTATTTCAGCATCAATACTTGGTGATTAAGCATTTGCAGGTTTATTTTTAAATCGTGTTTGCAATTGCTACGATTGCCATTTCGAGAAACATGAATTTTGCTCGAAAACTATAATTAAAAGCCCCCACAAAGTCAAAGGTCATCTGTTAGGCTGAATGAGGTCTTTTCATGACATAAACATCAAAGTCAGTTCAAAACTTGGAAGGTAAATCTGATGTTTCGTGTAAGGGAAGTGTTTCTGCAAGTTAAAATACCGCTTTTACAATTCTTCAAGAGTTAACAGGTGGTCCATTGCTAGATGAAAGGTGTGCCTCTATCCAACACATCAACATTTTCATGTTCCAGTAAGGCGTGGACCATTTGACTTTCTGGGGGGGGGGGGGGGGGGGGGCCTGGGTTTTTTTGAAAAAAAATAATCTGGCCTATTCAGGCTTCATGTCCTATTCCTTTGTCTTTACAAATGTTGAAAAAAAATTATTCTTGCTCAGTTTGCATGATAAAAATAAAATCTGATCTGGCTTGATATAAAAGCCCAGTAAAGTTACTTTTGGTTTTACTTTTGTATTATGACATCCCAATGTTTATTTAATGGTTTACCTTGACAGAGCTCCAGATAAGAATTCACAAATTTGGGTTTTTACCCACCATTTTTTATATAATTGAGTGAAATAGTTTTTTCAATTGCATTATTAATTCCAATTCACCCCTCAAGCAAATATCAAATTGGGTTTTTCATCACCAAGCCCTTTAATGTATTGGGATTTTTTCATCAACAAGATATTGAATTTAGGCATGTTATAAGGACATTCATCTTAAATATGTTTCTTTCATTATATATGTGATAGCTGTTTTATTTGGTTTATACATTGACGAGCAAATGTACGTTTAATTTGTGTCCGGTTTCAATCGTTATGCCAGTTTTGAATTTTCTCACAACTTATATAAACTGGTGTCACTAGTAGGAAAGTAACTTATTACCTTTCTAGATCACACATGATCACCCTTCAGTTTATTTGGAATAGGTGTGGCTAAGTTTTTAGATTTTTATGTAATATTTGTGAACATTAGGTGCTGTAAGATAGTTTTGCCAGTCCTATCACCTGTTTGCTAGACCTACTTTTTTAAAAATAATAAGTAGTTCCCAGATTTAAGATATGCCTCAAAACCTTGACCAGGTTAAGGATAAGACCATGGGGTGGTTTAATGACTGAGACCACATTCAATTTACAAATATTCCTGCAACATCAAATAAATAAATGACAATGTTGTACTGCATTTGCCAACCTTTGTTCAATTAGACCAAAAACAAAGAAAGTGGCAAGCTACATTTACGTCAGAACGAATATATGTGTTCACTCATCAACTAAAATGAAAAAAAATATATACACTTTTAAAACTAAAATAATACCTGAATGTTTTTGTTTAATTTTATTTACATAAATATGGGTTTAGTTTTCCCTTAGTATAACCTTTTGGTTTCCGATGATTTTCAACTTCATACTGTAAACCAACTAATTTTCGCGAGTAGAAAAATATCGCGAATATAAATGGTCGCGAATATGTAAAACTTGGATTTTTCCTTAACTACATCAAGTAAATTTGAGAATCGCGAAATTAAATGGCCGCGAAATAGGTTAGAAAGGGCTAAAGGCGAAAAAAAGTATCCTCGAAAATAAGTTGGTTTACAGTAATTGATTTGGCCTTTCACTGTTCCAACTGATTTTGTTCCTGACGAAACCTGTGTTTGTCGTTCTAACAATGTTCTCGTTAAGGCACACAAACACGACCTGGACGCAACCATTGCACCAACCTGTGCGTTCGAGGGATGCTTCCTGATAACACTAACTGAGTTTTGTTATCATCATAATTATCCCTCATCAGCTATCAAAAAGAATGCGACAACATACTTCTATTCAATATTTTTACTGGAAATTTACTTTCTTTTTGATTCATTGCTATGTGTAATGATAAACCCTGAGCAATACGAAAAAAATTATGATGAAATGACTTACACTAATTGGATAAACGCAGAGAAGATCAAAATCTGTTTTCATCAACACGTGTACCATTTTGACAATTCCAACAGGGACCCATTTCAACTACTTGGTGTAACGCTCTATTTTTAGAACGAAAGGGAATTTCCAATTATAAATATTACAAAAATAGATTTACTCGATGACAATGTAATAGATAGGGTAAATAACACACATGATAGTGACTTAAAGAGTTAAGAATTCATGGTTTTGACATATAAATTGGGTTTTCCTTTGCATGAATTGGGTTTTTGAACTCTGCAATGGGCAATTTCATTGGGTTTTCAATTGTTATACGACCGCAAAAAAATTTTTGTGGTCGTATATTGGTATGACGTTGGCGTCGTCGTCGTCGTCGTCCGAATACACATTAGTTTTCGCACTCTAACTTTAGTTTAAGTAAATGGATCTCATTGAAATTTTACCATAAGGTTCAATACCACAAAAGGAAGGTGGGGATTGATTTTGGGGGTTATGGTACTAACAGTTAAGGAATTAGGGGCCAAAAGGGGCCAAAAATAAGCATTTTTGTAACTTCCAGACATAACTTGTGTGAAAGTGTATGGATCTCTCTGACATTGTACCACAAGGTTCCATATCACAAAGGGAATGCTGGGATTGATTTTGGGGGTAATTGTCTCCAAATTTTAGGAATTAGGGGCCAAAAAGGGGCAAAAAACAAGCATTTTTCTAGTTTCATGACAATAACTTGCTTGTAAGTGTATGGATCTTTATGAAATTGTACTACAAGGTTCCATATCACAAAGGGAATACTGGGATTGATTTTTGGGGTAATTTCCTCCAAATATTAGGAATTAGGGGCCAAAAAGGGGCAAAAAACAAGCATTTTTCTAGTTTCATGACAATAACTTGTTTGTAAGTGTATGGATCTTTATGAAATTGTACTACAAGGTTCCATATCACAAAGGGAAGGCTGGGATTGATTTTGGGGGTTTTCACTCAAAATTTTAGTAATTAGGGGCCATAAAAGGGCAAAAAAAACATGCATTTTTCTAGTTTCAGGACAATAACTTGTGTGTAAGTGTATGGATCTTTATGAAATTGTACTGCAAGGTTCCATATCACAAAGGGAAAGCTGGAATTGAGTTTGGGGGTAATTGCCCTAAACGTTTAGGTATTTGGGGCCAAAAAGGGGCCAAAAAACAAGCATTTTTCTAGTTTCCAGACAATAACTTGTGTTCAAGTGTATGAATCTCTCTGAAATTGTAGTGCAAGGTACCATACCACAAAGGGAAAGCTGGGATTGAGTTTGGGGGCGGTGAATCATAAGGGGGTTCAAAAAATTGGGGGGGGGGGGATTTTTTTTTTCCTTTTTTTTCTTTAACATTTTCCATTTTAGATTGGTTATTTCTGATTTATATATAAAAGCAAATAATAATGATATGGTTTGAATAGGCATACATGTGAACCTCCCGACGGGAGTACAATAATCCCGTTTTCAGGGGTCTCCTCCAGACCTCCCGTTGAAGAGGAAAAAATCCCGTGTATGAAATTTTTCATGAATGAAAAATTTCTGCCCAACATATCATCTCAGGCATCTGGTGTAACTGACATTACCTGAAGTTATATTTTACCTGTAAATCAATTAACATGCATAATTATATGGCTTCACTTGTCAGCTTGGGTGTCAAACATACTGGTAAGCAACGATTTTTACCTCAGGCTAACTGCCGTTGTGTAACAAAAACTGTGTATTTATTGGGTTACTTCCCTTGATTTATCCTGTTTTAAGTTACTTTCCTTTTAATAATGAAAATTTTTAAAAGAATATAAATAAAATATAAATTGAACAAATAATCATAAAAGGATGGTTATTAAATGATTTTAAATGTCTTAGGACAAATAAAAAAATAATAATTTGAAAATTATTTGAGGATTCTATACTTCCTTTTAAGGCTTAAATTGAAATTTATATAATAACTATGACCCTAACTTTACAGATAGAATGAATTTCTGAGTTTGCAAATAAAAACTATTTGCAAGAGAAAAAAAAAAAAAATAAAAACTATTTGCAGACAGCTAAAAAAATGTTCTAGTTGCAATGATTGTTTTATAGAATATGAAGTAAAAAATTTAAAGAACATACTGGAAAAAAACAATGTTAGATTGAACATGTAGAATATAAAGATGGAGAAACTTTATAAGTACAAGGGTACTATAAACATAATAAATTGGATGGAAAGTTGAAGAAAACACACTTTAAAAGACCATTTTTACAGCACACGGTTACATTTACAACAAAATTAATGTCGATTAAAAACCTCCTGATCTGAGTCCTAATCTCCTGACCAAAATTTCCCAATCTCCTGATCTGAGTTTCACAGTCCATCACATGTATGAATAGGTAAATTGAAAATTTTTAAGTTCTTAGACCACTTTCATTCTGTGTCAGAAACCTATGCTGTGTCAAATATTTAATTACAATCCAAATTCAGTGCTGTATCAAGCTTGAATGTTGTGTCCATACTTGCCCCAACTGTTCAGGGTTCGACCTCTTCGGTCGTATCAAGCTGCGCCCCAGCGGAGCATTTTATTTTTATTGTGTGATCACGCAAATACGCAGCTTATCTGGAGCTCTGCCTTGATAATTTTAAAGGATTAACCTTTGTAAACCATCAGTAACAATTCAGTGAATAATTTTGAATTTTAGGCTTTTAAGTGTTTTAATGATATTTCAAGTCTATTTTTATTGATAAATATCTACTTAGCCACTGTATTTTTATTGTGGAAGTACCAATCAATTTTTAAAAATCGATTCAAAAATGGGAAATCATGTATATTATAATGTAAGGTATATTATAATGTATGACTGACTCTCTCCTAGAGGCACATGCTCCAAGTGACTAGCTGAATCCTTTCCCATTGTACTTGTAAAGCAACAGATTCCTTTAAAAATTACTCTTGGTAGTTATGAATAGATCAGTATGAAAACAAGAATATTGATAAGATTGATACTGTAATGATTATATATAAACCCTGTCATACATGTTTCATTTAGAGATATAAAAGGGAACTGACCATTTATGACATATTTGTATTTATTATGTAACTATGTGCTAAAACTAATTGAATTTAGAAATGTATTTTAGAAATATGAAGACTTCACAGGCACCATGGGGATTAGGATGGTTATACCGTCTATCACCAGAGAAACAAGACACTATGTTGAAAATGATGGTTCTAACCTTAGCAGCTGTACTGTGTAAGAATTAGATATAGTCTATACATAATATAATAATCAAAATAAGACTTCATTTGAAAGCTTTTGAGTGGTTGGGTAAATTGCAAGGAAAACAAGACTGACTGGGCAGCCAAAATTTCTGTTGTATATTTAGTAGGTAGCTTATTTTTCCTGATAAATATAAAAATGTGCTACTCATTATTACGTCTTTACCCCTTTCTTTTTATAAAAATTTACTTTTTGGTCATAATGGTTTACATTTTCAAAGCTCCATAACAAGAGAGAAAACAGAAGACCTCACATTTCAGATATTATTGAAGATATAGTCTGAGAGCTTATATTTTTTTTTTTCAGACACATACAAATGTTTAGAAACATCTGTAATGAATAATTTTGTATCAGTACATGTAGTTCTGAAATTGATACATTGAAGAGAAATCTGTGGTAAATGGGTTTTTCAGGATTATTTTTTAAAAAAATCATACAATTTAAAAATTGTTTATCAGTTTACCAAAAAGAGTGATACCAATAAGATAATACAATTAAAAAAAACTTCTGTCTTATACAGACTTCATCCCCTATGCAGATAGCACCAACTGCCTTTTAGCATTTTGATTCACATCCCTGAGTGTCAAAGTTCTATTTGAATTTCATTGATCGGTACTGATTTTTAAATCACAAATGAGTGTATTTTGCTAGTCTTTTAAATGGTTATGTCTTCATTACATTAAAAAATCAAATGCAATAATCCAATAAAAAGATCGAATTTGTGATCACAACCATTTTGATTGTTTCAGCATTTTCCACCAGATTGTTTTCTGTATTGAGATTTGAAAGTGTTATCCACGAGTTTGATCCCTATTTCAACTACAGAACAACAAGATTTTTAACTGAGGAAGGATTTTATAAATTCCATAACTGGTTTGATGACAGAGCATGGTATCCACTAGGAAGAATTATTGGTGGAACTATTTACCCAGGTAAACATTATATGTGTTCGGATACATGTTCAATAGGTTCATTTCCATATATACAATGTATTAACTTCAGTACTTGTGGTTGACCTCACTTCTTGATTAGTTGTTCACTACAATTTATATATATGTGTTAAACAGTATTTAAACAAAGATTTAGTGCTTAAAGTTCAATGAATTATACCTGAATTTGTACCTCAAGCTCTGATCTATAAATTTTACATGAACATTAATCACATGCATGGGGTCAGTAGTGCAAAGTTCACAGACCCATGTAGACCTGTTTTCTATTCTTAATGGACAACCTTTTGGCCCGACATGAATGTTAAATTTGGGACGATTTACAAAGCGTGATGAAACTTAGATATTAAAAAAACAAAATGAGCAGTAATAGTTTTGATCCTCACTGCTGATATCTTTCATAAGAAGACATTACAAGTTCAATCTTTTTTTTCAGGATTAATGATAACATCAGCAGTGCTTTATCATTTTATGTGGTTCTTCCATATCACTATTGATATCAGGAATGTTTGTGTATTTTTGGCACCACTGTTCTCCAGTTTTACTACATTAGTCACTTACCAGTTTACAAAGGAACTTAAGGTATACACACACAAATAAGTGAACTTGATGAAAAGTTGTACTGTTAAATGATCATAATAAAATTATAGATAACTCATTTTGTATAAACCATTTGTAAAGACAAATTTAGATTTTCGTTATAAGCAAATCTTATATACTGTAGTCGGCCTTGTGTAGTTCCCACTGGTACATTGTCCCCACCCCCCTTCTCGCTACGAGAATTCATAAAAAAAAACTGTTAGAAAACGTCTAACAAAACTCCAGTAATTTCAAATTGTGTATGATCATTGGCGGTATTTTCATGGAAAAACCTGTTTTTCATCATCAAATAGAAGTTGAAAATGCTTGTAAATGATTCTAGAACACTTCACAAGTGTTAAAATAAGTCAAAATCACATATAAAACAATTTAGGAACTATTGCATGTTTAAACCGGAAGTTCGAATAGCACGTGTAAATGAAAATAAATACCGTGAGAGTGTACTGGAAATCCGTACTTAATAGATATCACTAGAATACGACTGAAAGTAAAACAGTTCCATCCTTGAGTAAAATATTTCACATATCTATCACATTAATGTTTGAAGGATCTTAAGCTAAAACAAAACACTTGCGTCAGTATGAAACACCAAAACAGAACGAATAACCGATTACGTTTTATAGTTTATACATCGTTATGCATAAGCTGGTTCCCGGTAGACTTCTACACTTTTTTCGTTCCGATAAATTCAAACAGATTCCTGTTTATTTTAAGCAATGCAGTGAAAAGAAGCGAGAAATTTGTAGTGAAGCATTTAATTTTGAAATTTAACAGTTTATATTTGATATGGATTAGGTAAAATTATTAGTTTTGAAAATGATAAGATCGCCCTCTACAATTTCAATAACAAATATGGCAGAACGTAAACAAACCTTGCGAAATGATATTTTTTCTCTTATTTCTTACTTAACGTACTCTATAGGCAGCACCCCTGTCTGGCAGGTTCAATTTTGGAGAATAAAACCGCGGACTATACTAGCCTAAATTCGGTATTCAGTCAGGAATTTTTATTGTAGAAAGGTAACATTCACATTTATCTATAACTTTTCAAACTTTTGTCTGTCACAGGGTTGGCAAAGTATTACCCGGGCGGGAAAACCTGGGTTTTCCCAGGTTGGGCAATACTCCCATAAACGGGTAATACTGGGCAATATGATTTTTTAAGCTTATTTTTACTCAGAATAGTAAAAGACTTGTTGTAGTTTCATAGTATTATAGCTAAATATATACATTTTATACAGATAACCTTTGAGAGTCATTTCTAGAGGATTGGAAATTCAATTTCTTCCTTTTCTTCAATTATTCTATGTAGGTAGAATACAAGTTTTGCACAATTTTAGGATATCTGGTTAATTTCCAAGCTTGCTTTGATTCAATCATCCAAACTTTGAAAAAATGCATTTTATTGCAGTATTTAAGTGAATTGTAAGATTTGATTGTTATACAATCATATTGCTAAATAAACACCCTAAGGGGACAGGCCATGAACACTTATAGAAATGAAAAGGCTGATTATTGTTATATAAACAAATCTCTGTTATAATATGAATAATTACTTATTGATTAGTGATATACATATATGTACTACTTAGTAAACATTTTTAGCAATGAATAAAAACTGTTTAAAAGTAATTTTCCTTACATATGTTTGTTAGTTCTTAATAGTTATATATATATATTTAAAACAAGTGAACTTATAAATTAAAATACTATGTTTTATTTTTATAAATATCATAATCTTTAATGTATTGCATTTGTGATTAATCACTGAATCCTCTTTAAAATTCAGCCAGTATTTCATATTACCCAGGTTCCCAGTATTTCCCACTGGGCTGAGCAATACTCATAAAACCCAGGTTTTTGCCAACCCTGTTTTGTCAAATATTTTTGTTACATTGAAGTTCCTGACTTTATTTTAATTTATATTCTTGTTCCAAAATTTGTTTTTACTTTTGAAATTTTGTAAGTCCTTAAAAGGAAAATTGACATGGGGTGTGATTGTATTCCACAATGATATGAATTGTTAACAAGCCATTTGTAAAGCTAATAGCACTATAGAGAATTACAAGATGGATAAGATATTAAAAAAATTTGTTATGAGGGATGTAACATTACTTTGTTATAATAGATTTCTCTCAAAGACAGATATTTTGTTTTATGTGATAAATCTCATAATGAGTAGATCATTACAATATACTGTGAATTTATGTTAAATAGGATGCTGGTGCTGGATTAGTTGCAGCGGCTATGATTTCCATTGTCCCTGGTTACATCTCCAGATCTGTTGCTGGCTCCTATGACAACGAAGGTATCGCCATCTTTTGTATGCTGTTGACCTATACACTGTGGATCAAATCAGTGAAAACAGGATCAGTTTTCTGGAGTGCATTGTGTGCTTTGGCCTACTTCTACATGGTAAGATTGAAAGTCCTTTTAAATGTTAAATTGTTGACCAAATGCCTCACTTGCAGATTAAGGTAACGTATTTTAACAAATTAACATCATGTCTGTCTTTGGTTAACTTTTTACTATGGGCAGGCTGAATTTATCGGCATCACCTCTTTCTTAATTTTTTTTTCACCTGAAAGAAATTAATTTTGTTCCCGTATAATCCACAAGAAAATTTCAGCTTTTCTATTAATTGCATTTTTGTTACTGTCTACTTTAAAAAACCTTACTAGCAAAAAAATCTTCCTAAATATGATTAACACAAACATGTTTTATTATTGATGCAAAGATTGAGTTCCATCATATTCTCTTCTGTAATGGTTAAATTATCTATGTAGAACAATATGTAAACAATGCTGATCACTTGATAATTACATTACAGGTTTCCTCATGGGGAGGATATGTGTTTCTTATCAACTTGATACCACTTCATGTGTTGGCACTGATGGCCACTGGTAGATTTTCACACAGAATATATGTGGCTTACTCTACAGTAAGTATGCTCGTTATGTTAAATTTGTTTGTCAAACTTACTATATATATCATTTTTATCACTGAAATTGATTGTGTCAGAAGTCTCAAAATAGCATCCTGGCCTCTAGTAAAGTATGTGTTGTTTTTCAATGCATGTCATGATGATCAAACCAAAAGCTTTACCCAAAGACTGTTATTTGCTGCTTCTCTTTCAAGAACACATCAATGCCCAATAAGAGTAGACACTCAATGCACACTTATTGATTGTACTCATTTATAGCAAGTTATGTAATTGTTATCATTCAATAGTTGAAAGCACTTAATGTATACTGTATATTAAGAATTAGCGTACATTAATACAAAGATTATTTCTTTATTTTACCCTTATAATTAATACTTGTTTGCAAAGCATTTTTTCATGTGGCTTCCTTGTTGCATACTTGAACATTATTTTTTATAAACTGAGATGTCAGCGGTAATAGCCCAGTATAAAAGTCATTTGAGCATTTACATTACATACATGTTCTTGACCACATTAAAATAAAATTTTAGAATTTATCTTGTAATACTTTTAAATTCCAAGCGACTAAAATTTGACAAAAAGTAATGAATAGAATGCTCCTTCCATCTCCCATTCATTTTATGTGCTTATGTTTCTGTAATTGGATTGACTTTGAGGTGATCTGTTTAAATTTAAAATGTTTTATAATGAAGGCTTGGCAATTTTTTACCAAAATAAAGACTAATATTTTTCCTTTTGTTGTAGGTGTATTGTCTTGGTACCATCCTATCTATGCAGATTTCCTTTGTGGGATTTCAACCAGTTCAGTCCAGTGAACATATGGCTGTAAGTTGTCTAAATGCCTTATTAAAAAGAGGCAAAAGATACCAAAGGGATTAATCAAAACTTTATCTGTCGAAGAAAGACTGACTAAATCACAGCAAAAACTGAAAAGCAACGGAAATACAACAGTCTACAAAACAAGAATTCAAAAAAATTCAAGGCTGATGGTTTAAAAATGTATTTGTTATAAAATATGGTGACTACAGGATGTTTTTGTCCATATTCAGTGATAATAAATCAAAATCCAACATTTCCTTAACTTGTTTTCTACACAAATATTGTCGCTTTATAAAATTGGTTTAACCTATCTTCATAAATGTTATTGATTTGATTGTCAATAACTTTATATTAATATGATTTCAGGCTCTTGGTGTATTTGGATTGTGTCAGATCCATGTCTTTGTTGACTATGTGCGTTCCAGATTGAACACAGAACAGTTTAACGTTTTGTTCAGATCCATGGTTCTACTGGTTGGAATACTGGGTACAGCAGCTGGCGCTGTTGCCACAGCTACAGGCAGTATCCTTACTACAAAAGTATTATATGTAAACAACAATTAAAACACTGATATAATGGTTATTTTTCTAGTACTCCAATATATTAGTCTCTCATGTCTCATGTTAATCGACCTCCATATCATTTCTTTTCCTACTTGAAAAAAAGTGATTCAGTAAAGTTTTCTTCTGGTGTCTGATCTTGATAAGCTTTTAGATTGTTGTTTAAAAGAAATAAAAGTCAAAGGTTAGTAATAATACATTTTGATAAAAACATGTTTAGTCTAGTAGGTTCTTATTATCCAAAACATCTCAATTATTTTTGTATAAGTAGCAAGACTTTGATTTGTCTGCTTTTAGTGAAGGAAATCTTAAGCTCTAATTGAAACTATTTGAGTTTACAAAAACATTAATTAAGTATTGATTTCAAGAACTGTCCATATTGTAATATAAACATAAAAATCAAGAAAACAAATAGAACATTTGCTCAAAAGTACTGTTACTAATGTTATTTTTGAAATGTCGGGGCTAACCTAAGTTGGGTGTTGATGAAATGAAATTTTGAATTTTCATTTGTGATGAGCAACAGTCAACATTTGAATAAAGTCAACAATAATATTATAAGATTTATGAAAAAAACCTTGACTGCTTAAGAAATCTCTCCGTGGACTGGACGTTTCTACTCCCTGTTGGATCCCTCCTATGCTAAGAACAACATCCCAATTATTGCCTCTGTATCAGAACATCAGCCTACATCATGGAGTTCTTTCTACTTTGATCTACAACTGCTAGTCTTTTTGTTTCCAGGTAAGTGAAGTCTATAGCAATTTTCATGTATTTTGAATTACAGATGATTTATTTTGTATATATAAAATATGTTATGAAGTTCTGGTGCTGGGTAAACAAGGCTTAACAAGCTTGTTGCTACATATGTAGAGAAAAGATTTTTTTCCCGTCCAAACACCTGCTCAGTGGTGAGATTTAAATGGGTAAAATGTGAATATCCAAAAACAAAAAAAATGCTGCTTCTTGTGACCTGGTTTATTTTAAGGCCTGCTATAAAAGTGGAATGAGCATATAAAGCTTTACCCCTTGTTTGATAATCATATGTGGTTAAGTTCTAAATCTGCTTCTAGGTAAAACAGTAATATTATTTTTCTAAGGATGAACCTTCCATCTTATACACACATTTTCTATTTAATGCTTTGAAATGTCAAAGAGCAGAAATCATTTTTATAAACCATCACTTAGTGACAAATTTTAGCTCTCTAATTCATTGTATGTTTTTATTTTCCAGCTGGATTATATTTCTGTTTTAGTCGATTGACCGATGCAAACATCTTTATTATTATGTATGGAGTAACTAGTATCTACTTTGCTGTAAGTTAATGTTTAATATTGTAATCACTGTTTAGATTGACTAACAAATATGTTTAAATGGAAATGTGTGGTATACCTCAATGAGATAGTAGCTCAACACTAGCCCCACTCAAATGTATTGATATTTATACTATATTTCAAGCTCAGAATTGCCCCAGTCTAGAAAAAATCCACAAATTAAAACAATACCACAACCAAAGAACTGCAATTATCTGTAATCATTAACAGGAAAAAACCCAACAACAACAGGATAAAACATAACATAGCCACTGACTATGTTTATGACTTGGGATGAGGCACATAAACCTTTGGTGAGGTGAGTCCCATTAAAATAATTACCTGTATTGTTCTACCATTTAAAAGCTGATTTGATGTTATACATGTATGTTCAAAGCATTAAACATATATGTTATCAGTCCAATGACTTGTGATAAGGATTTTCTTTTTTGATTGATATTTTCAGTAAGACAATTATTTATAACTCCTGTTTGATATGAAACAGTTTCATTATGAATTATTATAATATCTGAGTGAAAGTTTGAAATGTTTTTTCTTGCTATCTGAAAGTTATTTAGATTTGGAATCGGTTTGTGAGCTAAAAAATACAAAGTGCTATACTTTATTGTTATGATTTATGAATGTCATTTTGTTATTCTTTATAGGGAGTGATGGTACGTTTAATGTTGGTCTTGGCTCCAGTCATGTGTATCCTATCCGGTATAGGTGTTTCAGCCACACTTACTACATACATGAAGAACTTGGATGTCAAGAAAGATAAGAAATCCAAAAGAGCTGATGCCACTTATCCAATGAAGAATGAGGTAGGAAATTATTTTTAAAAAAATAATTCATTTATGGAAATAGAGACTGAACATGAATGCTGTAAAGGTAATTTTTAATGTGATTGCTAATTTGAATTGTGAAAAAAAAAATTTGATATTGAAAATTATTAAACTGTCTATGGTTTTGATTAACCATGAAACACATGACAAAGAATGATACAATACCTTAGGAATAAACTTTTTTCACAGTAGTAACTATGTGGCATGGAATGAAAATGAAGAAAATTTTAATTCTTGAATTTGGGAAATGGGGTGACCTTACTTTGAAAATTTGAGAAAAACAAAAGGAAAAAAGTGCTCAATGAATGAGATTTTGTTGAAAATTCTGGAAAATCTGAATCTACTGTATGTAATTAAGGATAGGACTGCTTTTGCCATTATTTTAGGTTGCTTCTGCAGTGGTATTTATGGTGACAGCTTTCCTAATAACCTATACCTTCCATTGTACCTGGGTTACATCTGAAGCCTATTCCAGTCCATCCATTGTCTTGTCAGCCCGTTCAGGAGACGGAGGAAGAATTATCTTTGATGATTTCCGTGAAGCTTACTATTGGCTCAGACAAAACACTGCTGAGGTAAGACGAATGTTTCAGTATCATATTTTGACTCTGGTGCACTATTATTTTATCAATTAGTATTACATCTCAACAAAGTTTAGGAGGGCTTTATTCGTCTGTAGAGTGTATAGATTCATTTTTCTGTCTGTACGAGAACATGATATGTAGTAATTGTCTAGTTCAGGGGAGTATGGTCCCTGTAAATTTTTAGTGAATGTATGCACAATCTTTCTTTTATATGCTTTGTTATTGCTGTAACATTTACATTTTATTTCAATGAGGTCACAATAAGCTCTGCTATCAGCTTTATTTATCAATTTTATGTCATTCTTGTTAAATGTGCATTTGTATAAAGCAAATGTTATGAAACTTTTGTATCTTATTGTTATACATGTATATGTTGACAGGATGCCAAAGTGATGTCTTGGTGGGATTATGGTTACCAGATAACTGCTATGGCTAATCGGACAATTCTTGTGGATAATAATACATGGAATAATACACATATATCAAGGGTTGGACAGGTACATATCATGGCTTTTTTTTTTCAGAGTTCAATTTAAATATTTTTGTGAGTGGTAATAATTACAGGAGCAAAGAATTTTTAGTTTCAAGAAGAATACCGATTCTGTAACCAAAATATGAAATGCAGTTTCAATAAACCACTTATAATTATCAAGCATATTTATAGTATATGGTTTGATTCTTCATGTTAATGCATACTGTAAATTCAGATATTTTTTTATTTTTTTTGCTATTGTGAAAATTGCGACTGGATTGGTTTCGCAAAAATAAAAAAATCCTGTTTTGAATTTTTATAGCATTTTTTGTATGCAACATTTACTGAAATCGCAATAATTAATGTTGCATTTCTGCCCATTTTTGCAATAATGAATGCACGCAAAACTTTCTGAGTTTACATTATACATTTATTGCAACCAGAGTTTCCAAAACAATCCTACATGTATTTCCCTGACTTTTGCTATACTATTTATGAATGTCCAACTATAATTTCAATTTGTTGTGACTGAATTCCTTGTTAATGTTTTGCCAGTGGTTACCTTGATTGGCTCAAATGACAAGTTACAATGCAGAGTAGATTTAGGACAGGATTTTAATTGGCTGACTTAATTTTATTTTTCAATCTGTGAATGAAGTGAATGATCTATTACATGTTGTATGGAATAGTATGATTTGTAAGTTTTGTTATTTTTTTATAGGCCATGGCATCTCCTGAAGAGAAGTCCTATGAAATAATGAGAGAATTAGATGTGAATTATGTACTTGTAATATTTGGAGGTTTAACAGGATACTCGTCAGATGGTAAGTTAATGAATAAGATATTAATAATATATAGATTTTATCAATTGATTGTATCATGGGAATTATTGAATGAATGATATATTGATTGTTGTTTGCCACTCATATTTCAACTTTTCCATATAGTTTGTACCACTCAGACTTTTTTCTAGACAATGTATCAACAAATTCTGGCTTGCAATCCTTTTATTTCTCAAAGATTTGAAAACATGCATCAAATACACTTCTTACAAAATATTTTCAAAAATTGTTCGTTCTGTACCTTTCTCATTCAGCTTTACATACATTTTTACCATACCTTTCAGGTGAAATATATAAAGATCCTTATTTCACCAAAATTAAATAATTTTTCAAATGCATGTATCTTAAAAACAATTGGATTTTTTCCATATCTATGATAAATTTTACATTCTCTCTTGTAGAAGACTTCAGTTATGGAAATGTTATTACAATGTATTTTGAATTTTAGCAGCCAACATCCATTATGTGAAAGTGATTCATGAGCAAAATACCAAAGGTTTTTTAAAGTCCATTAAAATGAAATGCTGATTTCATTTCATTTTGTCAAAATCATTTATATAAGAAAATCCGAATATTCCCCTTCCTTCTCTAATCTTGGGCAATGTTGTAAGTCTTGATGTAAAAATCCTGTTTGCCATTACTCTATTGTCACAAGGCATTCAAAATTAACTCATTCATAAAATATAGACATACAAGTTACAACATTGAATATGTCATGGAAATAAAAATAGGCTTACAAACTGTACCTAGTGGATTTTTTTTCTTTTCTAAAATTCTGAATATTGATATTGGTGGCAACAAAAAGGTATCTTTGATTTGATAATTGAAACAACTGCCAATTCTACTTTAATAAAATGTGTTTCATTTTAAAATCATAATATAATTCCCTTGTGTGCAATGCAATAACTTCAAAATAGAATAGAGAAGGAGACTAGTTGTTGATCAAATTTCCAATTTGGTCAATATGACTTCCTAAATGGGCTGGGAAAATCTTGGATAGATGACAAAAGTATAAATCATAAATCTTACTCCTGCAAATTTTCAATATTTCAGATATAAATAAATTTTTATGGATGGTAAGAATTGGTGGTAGTACAGACAGAGGAAGTCATATAAAGGAGGCAGATTATTACACACCACAGGGAGAATTCAGAATAGATAAAGATGGATCACCCACACTTCTTAACTGTCTCATGTATAAAATGTGTTATTATAGATTTGGACAAGTTTATACAGAAGGGGGTAAGTGAATATATGCATACAACTATGGAGTGGTAGTGTTTACTGTAGTATTGGCTGTTAGAGGATGGTGAAAATTGATTCAGGATGGTAAAAAAAACATAAAATTGGTTTGGATAACTGCAAGACTCCTGTTTGGAAAAGTCACATGTAAAATCTAAAATATCTTAAAAGAGCTTACAAATCATGAAAAATAGTCAAAACCATGGAAATGTTAGACAAGTTTATTGTAACTGCATTGTGCAGAGATAATCATAACTAACCAGTTACATGAGGTTATCAAAATAAAAACAGTTGCTTTTGTTTTTAAAAAACCAGGAACCACTACTTTAAGTTTTATAAACTAGTGTATGTTAGGTATATTGACCCGATAAATAGTGCAAATATTTGTAGGAAACCGAAATATTACGATTCATGAGCACTTTTTGATCTGTCGGACACTTACTTCCTGTTTGTCGAGTTTTTCAATATGTTGAATATATTAGAAGTTTTTGTTTGCCACACATTTTTCCAGTACTAGTGAACAGAATGACTTCATTTTTGGTCACAGCTTGGCAGGGATGACATGGTATCAATTACAATGCAATTTTTCCTTTCATATTATTTTTGCAAATTTATTTCAGGCAAACCTCCAGGTTATGACAGAGTTAGAAATGCAGAAATTGGTAATAAAGATTTTGAATTAGATGTATTAGAAGAGGCATACACATCAGAACATTGGCTTGTTAGAATTTATAAAGTTAAAGATCTTGACAATAGAGGATTATAAAGATCAGGATTAATATATATATATATATTGTACTTAAAAAGAACATTTATTGTGACAATACTTGGGATCAGGGTATATCAAGCTCTATGTTCTAGTCTGAAGATTATGTTTGTAGAACATTTTATTTCCATACTTTAATAATCTGCTTATGTTGATATAAGACTATTGAAGAATTTATTCTGTGATAGATTTGAATTTTTCTATATTAGTGCTATGAAGGAGAAAGCTTTAAGTCATTTCAAATCTAGTGGAAAAAACCAACTGATGACAGGGTTTCAAAATTTCAACAAATTATAGGCCTTGATTCTTTATACTTCACGACCTTCGTGTTGACTTATTATTTTGTATGCATTAACTTATAACAATTTTATTGAAATCCATTAATAAAATGCATAATATCTTCAACATTAGGTATTATTATCAAAACTTATCAGACATAGTTCAGATAGATTGAAACCTTTGATCCCAATAACATGTCATTTGCTTTTAATGTACAATCAACAATCTGATAATAAATTTTTTATTTACATGATATGAGTGTTTGTTTCTTTAGTTATTTCAGAGGTTTGTAACGTACATCTGTAGAACATTTGGGTTTAAATCCCCTATTTGTCTGATGAAATTTAGTAACATGTCAATCTGTTTCATGGTTTAGTGAATAATGGGCAGGCAGTTAGGGCAGTGGGATGTCGAGAGCACAAACCATATAGAAAACATGGAAAAGTTACAGCTCTTAATGGTAATAGAGCCATTTTCAAGTAGATTAATCATACATCATTTGATTCCTTATTAATTTTCTCAACTAATATGCATCTTTCTACCCTCTGTAGCCCAAACCTACGCTTTAATTTCATCAACCCTTCATTTATTGCTATATCCTTTCCAAGTCTGGGTCATGTTTGAAGAGTTGTGTGAAAGAAGGCAATATTTACCAGCATTCTCAATAGAGGGTACAAATTTATGAAATCAACTCCTACAGTTTGTACGTGTGTTGGGAGAGCAGATCTATTAACCACCCTATCATATCAGTTTTTATACGCCCGTTTACAGGACGTATTATGGTATACCGTTGTCCGTCTGTCCGTCCGTCCGTCTGTCCGTCCGTCTGTCCGTCGTCAACATGTCGGACATTAACTCAAAATTGCTTAAACCAATTTGCATAAAACTTTGGTGAATTGTTTATATCTATTGACGTGAGCTCCCTTTCGTTTTTTATAAAATTTAGATTTTACGTTTCCGAGTTATGGGGTTTTATTCATTAAAAAAAGGGGGATTTTCCAGTTTTCGGACAATAAGTCAAGAATGCTTTCACCAACTTGCAAGGAATTGTGGTGAATTGTTTATATCTATTGACATGAGCTCCCTTTTGATTTTTATAAATTTTAGATTTTACGTTTCCGAGTTACGGGGTTTTATTCATAAAAAAAGGGGGGACTTTCCAGTTATCAGACAAAAACTCACAAATGCTTTCAGCAATTCTTATGAAACTTTGGTGAATTGTTTGTATGTATTGATGTAAGCTCCCTTTAGAATTTTATAAATTTTACATTTTACATTTCTGAGTTATGGGGTTTTATTCATTAAAAAGGGGTGATTTTCCAGTTTTCTGACAATAACTCAAAAATGCTGTCACCAATTCTCATGAAACTTTGGTGAATTGTTTATATCTATTGATGTAAGCTCCCTTTTTATTTTCATAAATTTCTAATATGACATTGAGAATTAATTATACTTTATTTGTTTATAGTCTGACAACAGATTTACTAAGTATTGCACAACAGCAAGAAATCTTTAATTGAACATAAATTCAATTCATATAACCAATTTCAAGTTCTTTGAATACATTTATTCAGACACCTATAATATGTCAAATATTTAATTACAATCCAAATTCAGACCTGAATCAAGCTTGAATATTGTGTCCATTTTTGCCCCAACTGTTCAGGGTTGGACCTCTGCGGGCGTATCTAGCTGCGCTCAGCGAAGCAGTTTATTCCTTCTTTCATTCTGTCCAAGACATATTAAGGGTACCTAGAAGTTTTGAGCATTTTTCAATGTCAGATTTTTCTTTCTATTATGGTTTCCAGGATATATGACAATTACTTGCATTTTACCATATGGTCTATTTTAAATTGTGTCAGTTGATCAGCTCGAACAAAAAGCACAAACTATACTTGTTATTCTAACAATAAATGATGATGGATGGCTGCTTAACGTCCAGCAGCAAATTAATATGCATATTCAGGACGGGAGAATATGTTAATGTAATATGAATATTTACCCTGCTTTGTACTAGACTGACACACTAAGCCGGATTTTAAAGTGCTAGCTCACAAGGTAACAGTCCGCAGGAAGACATATCATCTTACCCGGACACATTATTCTGACTCCGAGCAGACCAGTTTTTGCTCTTACTCCTTAATGACGCGTATTTGGCGGAGAAGCAGCAATAACAAATTTTAAAGTCTTTGGTTTGACCATGCTGAGGTTCAAACTCTTGACCTCCCGCACTCGAGGCGAATACGGTTATCCTAACGATCATTCAGCCATAGTTTGGTTGAAATTGGTCCAATGAATGTAGAGGCGAAGATGTTTTTAAAATTAAGTTTTCAATGATGGAGGATGACAATGGATGCCAAGTGAAGATAATGGCTCATATGGCAAGGTTAATTATAAAAGGTTGAAATATGCAAATGTCATGCAGTTCTCACAATAATTAGTATAAAAAGCCATATTTGATGACACCTAGCATTTTGATGTTTGAGAGAGCATCTACTAGAATGCTAGGACAGGTGATATCTACTATAGTATTTCTACAAATTAACAAAACTAAGGGAAAATAGTCTTTAGATGCAAGTTAAAACACAAAACCCTATCAAATTTTTTTGAAAATGGGTACCTCACTTTGATGAAGCTCTTGAAAAGTTTTATCATCTGGAATTTTTATTTTTTATTAGTTCAAATTGTGTATACAATGTGGAATACACATTTTCAATGTACATGTGTGTATGTACAATATTTGAATAGAGTTGAAATTGGGATATTCAGGACCAAAATGCAAAAGTTTAAATAATGTTGAAGGAAAACTATTAGGAGTGACGGATAACACAAACCAGGTACCATCTAAAGCATTTTAAAATGATGAAAATTATTAAGTTCCATATGTGAAGCCAGAGAAAAAAATAATCAAATATGTACAAAATAGGAGGTACACATCTTTAATTAATGTGAAATTTAGTATTCAATGACCAGTTCCAAAAATGTCCAATAAAGGTTGTACGCTTCTTCCATCACTGTACAAAAAAGGAATAACATTGAATGTAAACCATTGGAGTGACAGATGACAAAACTAGGTACCCCTCCCTCTCAGAATTTAAAGCAAAAAGAAAACAAGTTGTACTCCTGGGAAATCTGGAAATAAACATAATCTACTGTGTACAAAACAGGCGGTGAACCACATCTTTTTGCCAGCTATTTGAAAAAGAAAGATAAGTAGATTTGCAATTGCTATTGCTAGCGGATGGCACCCTTGTCCCCCAATAAGTCAAACAGCCCATCAACACATGCCAGTTGACATTTTTGTAAAGTTTCATTAAGTTTTGAGCATTTTGATATTTTTGACGTTTTTGCTGTTTCCATGGTAACGGTGACCAGTTCCAGAATTTCAAAGACAGATGCCACATTTGCACATGCCATGTTACATATTCATACAGTTTTATTGGGTATGATGTAAAATAACAAAATACCTAACTCCAAGGAAAATTCAAAATGGCAAATATCAAATGGCAAAATCAAAAGCTTAAACACATCAAACGAATGAAAAACAACTGTCATATTCCTGACTTGGTACATGCAAATTCTTTAAGAAAACGCATCTTCGGGATTTGTTCCTCCGATGACAGGCCATACCTGCCAACCCTCCCGTTTTGAGCGTGGCGAAATTCCGGAAATCTCATGCGCCGGAGTATAAAATCGCCCACTTTCGGATATTTAACCCCGATTGACCAGTCTGACAACATTAATTACGTTTTTGTGTCACTGATGAGGGTAGTTGTTACCTGTAAATCACAGACCTTGTGAAATTAAATGGCTTCACTTGAAAGCTTGGGTGTCAAACATAATATTAATTAACGATCATTAACGACGTTAACCTGAAGCTTTGTGTATTTTAAAAACACTTCAAAGAAATTTCGGGTAACTTCCCCTGTTTAATCATGTTTTAAGTTACCCTCCTTAAAATAATGTGAATTGATGAAAGAATATAAATTAAATACAAATTGAACAAAGAATCATAAAAGGGTTGTAGTTTAATGATTTTGAATGTCTTAGGACAAATAAAAATAATATATTTTGAAAATCATTTAAGAGATCTATACTTCTATTCAATGTTGAAATTGAAATTTATAAGAAATGTATTGAACCATTCTGTAATGTTGGCCTGAAGGGATACAACTATCAGATTATGAAAGATTCAAAAAAAGATGATGAAAGATACTAAAGATAAAAAAAAAAGATGATGGAAGATACTTCACCTGAAAATTTCAAATCTCCAGTTGAGGAGTGACAACTCTGCCATATGTATGCTCAGAGGTATTGAAAAAGGCAAAAAAAAACAAAACACACCTTGTATAGGATATAACCGTGATTGAAGAAATAACTATATTTTGGTGTTTTGTAGATGAATAAATAAACAGGTCATATATTTCACTTGAAAATGTCGTTCGCGCAAAATCCCCCCCCCCTCAGCTGTCATAGCTGAGGGGGAGATCTCCCTCTTTGAAGGTTTCAGAGGTTGGCAGGTATGGATGACACAGATGCAGATCAAATATGGACTTGAGTGTAGACCTCATTAATGGGAACTTTATTTGGAGAATTGAGTATGTCTACAAGAAAGAGAGGCAGTGGTTATTTTCCTGGCGCCGGCAGAATAGAAAATATGCTATTTTGCCAGCTCTGATTAAAATATCTAAATTAAAGCCGGCAAAATAGCATATTTCTATAGCAATGGCTATTTTGCCGGCGCTGGTATAACAAAAGACTGGATGTGCATGACTTATTCCGCTTCAATTTTGTTTATGAATAGGACTATGATGGTTCAATGCCATTGGATCAGATTATTTGATAATACCACACCGACTAGTTTTTCTTATAATAACATAAGTCCGTCTGTAAGTTTTATGTCGTTTGAAAAGTAAAAAAGATTGTTTAATCTGATTTCCATTTATTTTAGTTTTCATGCACAGCCGTATCTATAAAACGAAGATCCTTTTTGATTTTTGTAAAAATAGAAAGAAAAAAAAATTGTTTGAAAAAAAAAACCGCAGGACAACAACTGTCACATTCCTGACTTGGCACAGGCATATTCCTAAGAAATATTGGGTTAAATATGGTTTTCATACTACGCCCACTTGTATGACAGTTGTTTAAAGTTCCATTATATTGGCAAATTAAGTAAGCAACCTAAACAGACATAATTATTTAGTTAACATGACCATCACTGGGATGCAGCAGCCAACAACTGTGTAAACATTC